TCGTTATCACGGAGTGATTTGTGTTAACTTTTACATTTGTCCTTTATATATAGTACTAGTACAGTTCGTTAAAAAAAGTAATAATTTTTTATAAAATATGTTACCGTATTTTACAGCATATAAGACGTACTCTCTAGCAATGCTCCTCCCCTCCCCCACAATCTGTACTGTATTGTCTTTAATGGGTCTAATCAGATTTGATACAGGCCAGTTTGCTTTTATTTTTTCATTATATTTTCAATGATCAGCCTCTTATGGTGTATGTTTCATCAGTAATAATATAAAATAGTGTTAAATAATAGAAAAAAATACGATATATAATTTGTAATTTGACTTTAAAATTAAAGGACAAGCTGAATGAGAAGGTAATCTCTTCCCTGACCACCTCCCTCTGTAAAGGAGGGGTGGGACTATTTGTTGCCACGTTCCCTTTTGTTTTTATTCTCATATGATCAGACTCTTATTGTGTATGTTTCATCGGTAATAATATTAAATAGAAAAAATACAATATATAATTTGTAATTTTACTTTAAAATAATGGAGACTGATATGGACTACAGCAGGTGTTCCCTATTACCATCACCATTGTTTGAATTATTTTACCCAAAATTTTACCATTTTTCTGTGGCTGAATGTGTGTTGAAATTATAGCTAACCAATCACAGTACAGCATAATGGGCGAGTCTATTTGCTTATCACGGCACTTTTTTGGTCCCTAACCCCCATGAGGATAGATGTACAGTACTGGGAAAAGTTCCAAGAGTCTAAACTACACATCTCGCACAGACAGACACTATCCCACATCCCCGGAATGTTTCTGGGTGCAGGGAATGTTTTCTGAGTCTAAACTACACATCTCATCTCGGATGGACAAACACTCCCATTACATTTAGTCCGTAAACACGAGAAAATATTTACAGCTAGTGAAAAGTGTATGAACTTATATTCACAGCATCTGTTGTGTGTGTGTTAGAGAGATGAATTTGATACCATAATGACCCTGAATAAATTCTCTACAACATTATTTCGATAAAAAAATCCTAAAACAAAATAATACAGTGGTCCCTCGGTTAACGAGCACAATCCGTTCCAGCAGGTTGCTCATTAACCGAAAAACTCGTTAGCCGAAACCATTGTTTCAATGGGTTTTTGGGTAATTGGTTCCAGCTCACCGAAAATTGCCTAAATTCAACAAAAAAGGTAGAAAAGTACACTTACTTTGGTGTAATTTAAGATTATTTTCTTTAAATCAACACTGCACTGCATTATATATTGTCAATATGTAAAATAAATTTCAAAATGACCAATAATTTGCTTGGAAACACAGAAAAAAAGCATTTAGTTGAAGAGAGTCTCAAGCAAGATGTTACCTCCACTGAAAACAGAGAGAGACTAATGCCTGTCTGGTGTGTTAACAGGCTGGATGGCACGCCAGAAACTAGTTTCTTTACCTTCAATATGTTCAATAATTGTTAAAATGACTAAAAAAGTTAATATTAAAGTTTTAAAATTATTGAATAGTATAAACTTCTTGATATTTACTAAAATAGTAAGGAATTTAAGCCCTAAAACCGATTACTGTATTGGCAGACTAATACTACAGCTGGTGGACTGCCAAATGCAAGCGATAACATGTTGAAGTCGGCTCGTAAAAAACTCGTTAATCGAGGAATTGCTCGTTAACCGAAGTTAAGAATCTTATGGAAGGTAAATCGTTAACCGAAATCTCGTTAACCGAGGGATCACTGTATAATGATATAATGATGGGTACCCAATTCTTTTAAGAAAAAAAAATTGTTTATATCGGTCTATAAAATCAGTTCTAATTACGTTAATTATTATTATTTTTTTTTTAAATAATACTGAATGGTTTATATAAAAGTTTGGTCAAATAAATATATGCAACATATAAAAAACAAAAAACTATATGATACAGGCATGTGAGGCCTGATTGGAGCAGTCACACAGCCAAGATTGTGATTGTGGAATTTTCCACCTTGTACAGTACTAGGAAAGTTTTCCTGATACACTAGAGCTGTATCAATACTGTATACAGTATGCAAACATCTCTGTACATGTACAATATATTGTAAACAAACAAAATAATGTATACTACTACTACTGTACTGTATATTCTGTACTCACCAGCAGATGCTGTCGTCTTGAACCTACAGTGGGCTAACACTGTCCATTCTGCTGAATGTAATGCATAACTGCAATCACTTTTTACATCTAACACTTGCAATGGAGCTGTGGTAGGGGATAAGTGGGTCTCATGTTACTGACCTGATGCAGTGTCAGGTTACACAATGTGTATACACTCTTCTCTCATTTGCTGTGGAGGTGAGGCGGGGGATTAGTGGGTCTTTATTGACCTGACCTGAAGATATCTTTAATAAAGACGTTCCACTGTTTCCCTGTTCCTGTACACTTGCTACAGAAAGTATCTCCAAGTTGGGGTCTGATGGATGTCAAAATAAGCAATACAACTCCTGTTGTCTTGGTAGGGTTGTCAAAATCCTTTGTCCGTTGTGTCATTCAAGCCAAAAAATTTGCAGATACTTTTTATAGCGAGTGTGTAATCAAAGACGAAAGTAGTGTCGTGGTTTTGTCCGAAGATTAAATATAACTCGTGAAACATGAGAGCCCCCTACCAAAAGAGGGAGTGCACCAAAAGTTTAGCCTTTCGTTATTTTTTTCACCAAATTTCACGACACGTCTTGAATTGTACATGGTACTTTCACACTTACTAAATGTACAGTACAGTTTACTTAACTGTAATAAATTTTTACTTAACTGTATGATTGTCTTGGTACTGTACAGCAATGTATTGTACAATACACATTGTGTACAAAAACATCATCTAGAGAGGGAACAATCTTTTACAGTAGCGGCAGAATATGAACTAAGGATCCAAACAGGTACCGTAGGCCGCCCATGCGCTTGGCATGTGGCGTCGCGTTGGAGTATGATTCAATCTCTTGGTATAGTAATATCTCCATTAGCGGAACTCTTCAGTTCCCGGAATTGAAATCGACTCAGAATTTTTCCGGAAAAATTCTCTCAATTCCAGGTTCTGTGAACAAGTTTCCTAGGTTGAAAATCAGGCACATTTTCTGAGAAAATTCCATAATGGCTCTCCAATTTTTTTTGCTCCAGGTGGTCCCTGTTCACCTAGCAGTAAGTAGGTACCTGTTGTAAATCGAAAGGTTGTGAATTCGTATTCAGGGAAAGTTGTTGGAGCTTCTAAACTGACACAATCCGAGGAGTGGTGATTCGAGGATCACACACCCAACACAGGGAGCAAATTCCGAGGTTGAAAATCATGTGTGTTTTCTAGAAATTTCCGAGGAAACTTTCCAATTCCTTTTTCCTGGTCTGGGAGCAAATTTTCCCCAACGCTTCCCTTCCTGCACACAAAGAAATGTTTATTCCCTTTGTTTTTGACCTTGAGTTATTTCTTTTACATTTTTTTTATTTTTTTTGTGCACTATGTAAGTAGGATTATATGTGCATGAAACTGAGAAAAAAAAGTAAATGAAATAACCACAACCATAATCCTCAGCTTATCCTGCTTATCTGGCATACAAAGAAATATTTATTCCCCTCCTGCATTTGACCATTTTTTATCTACCCGAAATTATGAGCTGAAAAATAACCATAATACAACTCTTACCACAGCCTGGTAAGGGGAACACTGGGGGGAGGATGTGGCTGACTTCTGGGGAGCACAGGATTTTAATTTATGCATTGACCCAAATTCATAGTATAGTCTGGATTTACGCGTAAAACAAGAAACGCGTAAACGAAATAACAACATATGGGATTAATTGAAATAGAGACTGGGCCGACTCCCAAACTCCACTTTTTCCGACAATACGTACCTTGTAGTAAAAATAATATCATAATTTTATGATGGTATTGACACACACATATCATCTAAATAAAAAACTACAAATCTAAAGGTGTTTAACACTTACGTTAGTAGAAGAGATGGGTCGGCACACGTTGATGGCGGCTGGTTCCGAGGCAGAGGGCAGATTAGTGGCCCTCCAGTGAATCACTATCACCACTCACAGAGGTTTGCAGGGCCTCCCTGACAAACCCCTCAAAGTCCATATCCTCACTGTAACTATCACTGACTTGGGCTGGCTGTGGTTGTGGTGGGTTGCGGGCGAGACTAGCATTGATGTTGTCGTGATACATCTGGATATACGACTCCATAATTTTTGACAGAAGGTTATTTGACACTTCATACCGATGCTTGACTGTGTCTTTGTCAAGGATGAGCTTAATTTTCTCCCCCAACTCGATGACTTCCTTCACATAACCATGGCTTGGTCCAGGTTCAAGGTTTTTCTGGGATGGTGGGGGTCCAGCGGAAGCCATTGCAAGGGAAATAGCGGGCACGAGAGAACTGTATACGCGGAGACTGAGAACAATGAGACTGGCCCAGCTAGGTCAGCGACTTCTTCCCTCTGGTGGCAGGGCACGTCATGTTACATTAGATCAATCACAGCTAGCGGCGGAGGGAATGTGTGGGTGGTAAGGATGCTTGGCCCAATCACAGTCTGATACGTCATATGATGTCAGTCATAACCTAATGCGCACCCTGCCCCCACAAATGATGGAATGAACCACAACTTAAAATTTTCATTCTGGCAAGGTGCCGTGTAAATGACCAAACGCGTAAACGAAATCCGCGTAAATGCAGACTATACTGGTGGGGGAATGCGAAAAAGCTGTGGCAATTTAGGATATTTGTACAAGCATAAGCGAATTTTCGTATCTAGAATGTTCATATAGCGAGGGTTACCTTTGTAGGTCCTCTTCGATATGCTGATTAAGGATCTGGGAACAAAAAGATGGTATTTGGGTAATTACTTGTAGGTAAGTAGTAGATAAATCCATTGCATGACTGCAACATATATTGATGTACAGTAACATGTATTGATGTTAAAGCCAATTTTAATTTTCTAATTGTTTTTCTTCTTTCCCAGGTTTATAGTATAGAAAAGTCCGAGCCGGCTAAAGAGCGATATTCAGAAGAAAGGAAATTATACGACAATAGGAAAGTTGAGTAGTTAAAACAGTGGGTGATGCATCATGTGATATTGTATAAATGTAAATACAAGGTTAGTAAATGGTTTTAATATATTTCTTTGGTGAATATTTATTTCCTATTTACATTCATCTACAAACACAGCATCGTCTACACATTTTACATCAAATGGAAGTTGAGCTGAAATGTATAATATGTAATGAACTGAACCATATATTTACATTTTATCATTTAACATATAAGATGTATATAACATGCGTAAATTGTAACATATCAGCAACATTTAGAGGTCACAGTAGAAAAACAATCAGGTTCTTGTAGCATTGGATAAATTTATCCATTAAGTACCAATGTCTTAAAAATGTAAAAATATATTGCACTCTTGACCAGCTCAAATACCAACATCATGCGAGATTTAAAAGGAATAATAATAAAAAAAAAAGGTTGGGAACATCACTAAATAACAAGAACCTTGAACAAATTAAATGCATTACCAGTAAATAGAGAGATTTAGCAAGTAACCTTGAGGTATAATATACCTTGTACAAGATAATTGTACAGAAATAAAAATAAATATAAAACAAGCATATAAAATGGACATCTATTGTATTTGCAACTGATGCATAAGCAAAGAAGAAAAAAAATCACATGACATCTTGAGATTTGTGCCTTTCAAGTTACCTCTACTTTTTCTCCAACTTCTTATGTATTTAATTTTATGAAAAGAATTACAGTATTTAAGATAAGAAATTTTTATGACTTACACCGATTTGTTTAAGTGATCAGATGGATGACCCAGGGAAGTGTTACTGATGACAGGAACACTCTTCTGTGGCTCCACGTACCATCCACACACATTAGAAAAACTACACAATGGACTGTTTCTATCTTATATTAATCTGCTGGACAGGTAATTGCCGATTCTCAACTGATAAGTAGCAAGCACAAACTTGTGTGTACAATGCTGAGAGAGCTGTGTTCAAATTAAAATATAAAACATGACTAAAGGAACACTTTAAAAGCACACCACAGCTTTATGTATAAAATTAACTTAGGAATGATTGAAGAAAAGTGAGCAAATGGGTCATGGCGAGTGATTACTCAACAGTAATGAAAGAACACAAGTAATAGATGATCGATATATGACAAATTCATAATATACAACAGCAGACTTCACTGGCTGAGGATGATAATTGCCTTTGGCTTGAAAGAAAGGAAGCAAGGGAAGCACAGTATTACTGTCAAAAGGTAAACTAGCATTTACCAATGACAAACTCAAGGTTTCCTTTAAATGTCATGACATCTAAAGGGATATACATGGAAGAATATGTACTTTCTGGAATTAACATATTTTAAGTGACTTGGGATTACACCTGCTGATGGGGTAAGATATCAATTCCTAGGACTGCTTATAAGCATTTTCCTCATTGGATTATTGGAAGCTGAGTTACACTGTACTATACAGTTATCCCAGAAATTGATGGATTGTAGTTACTCAAGGTAATACTGGGGGTATAAAGAGAGCGAGATCAAGGGAGGTGTCATACTGGAGTCTGATTTCGTGGAGACATGGGAGTGTGGCGTCCTTGATAAAACTGAAGGAGTCTCTCAACTGTGATGGCCACACGGACTGTTCCCCTTTCTTCCAGAATATCATGAGCAGTGCAGGTGTATTCCTGTTGATAAAAAGATGTGAAAATAACATTTGATGTGGTAAAATTCAGGTGATATTATTTCTTAGTTGTTAAAAACTAACTAAAAAACAATTTTTAGTATTTCAGTTACAATATTTCAAAATTAAAAAAAAAAATATGTGAATTCTTGATAACTTGAGAAATATCTAATCTACCAAATACTAACAGATATACGTCTGGGTCTGTCAAAAATAAAACCCGAGAAGAATTCATTGACTATATGATACTTACTCTTTTTGGAGGAAAAAAGACATGTATTATGTTAAATTACACAAACAATACATATATTGTTTTATTATTGTTGTCACACAGTCCTATATATATTTAAACAAAACTGGTCAAAGTTTTTTAATCCTCTATAAGATACAAGGTTAAAATGTATGGTTCTCTTCAAGCTACATTAGACCAGATCTTACAAGATGTCTAAGTACTTGGAAGGTATAAATCAGAATATGATTCTCTGTAAGTGACAAAAGGACCTGTGGTTGTACATGTGAGTATAAACCAATCACTTGTATATGATGATGACAAGATATTGCAGATGTCTCTTTGAAACAAACCATCAAAGGTACAATTAGGTGTATCTATTGGAAAATCTTACTTAATTTAGCAGTACTCTATTACATATAGTAGTGTTAATGCACAAATGCATCTGGCTAATACATTACTTGTTCTCCATAAAAGAAGAGTTGTTTTTTTCAGCACTTCTGTTTCACCTCAAAATTCAGATGAAGCATCTGTATTATATAGAGACTACTTCATTTTATTATACTGTTTAGCTAAAATATATGTTAAGTTTATGGCATATTGTTACATAAACTAATTGAGCCAATAGTGACTAGTCTTATGGGGATAGTGCTTTAAAGGCAATTAAAGCATAAGCTAAATAATTAGCAGCCTTTAAGTGACAATGTTATAGTACACAGTTACATATGAGACTACAAAAATACAGCAAGATAAAAAATCAACTTTCCTAATAGCTTTAATGATAAATTATTACTTGGCCATATAAAATAACACAAACTACAGATTCCACTGACACTTGAGAATGGAGTCTGACTTAAGTACACTTAGATTCACAAATGATCCAAAACTGAGAATTTGAAGCCTTACTCTGGTGAGTGATATTTGAAGTGTACTATACAGAGATCTTTTAAATAAACTAGTTCAGTGTGTATGATAGACAATTCAACATTAGGCTCCATATCTAAAGCACCATTCTGGATTTTTTATCTTGAGACTAGAAACTGTCAAATTTGACATAGGGTTTACATTTTAAGTAACAAAATTTTCATCTTAATATCACAGAATATACTTTATATTCTTTGCTGCATATAATAAAAGTTCAGATACTACAGACCTATTAGGTAGTGGTCACATCCTAGAATTAGAAACATATAATCATCCTTTCCATACTGTAAGAAAACTTTTACAAGGCAAAAAGTATAATGCATAATGAGAATGTCGATGATTAAGTGTGCCATTAACATTTACAGGAATACTCTCAAATAATGAGATACAGATGGACTAATAGCTTAAATAGGTCTTTAAAGGCTTTGGTTGTGTAATTTAAAATACTTCAATTAGTTAAAAGCAGCTGAATATGATAATGACAACTTAAGTACTTTGGCATAAAGTTTGTGGGATATATTTTGTTGATAGAAACTGCTGGTTAATGTGAAGATCTACAAGGTAAGAAGGGCATAAGGACCAAGTCAGGGATCATGCACAGCAGAATCCACAAACCAAAGCCTTTGGGTATAACTGGACTAGAAGGAAGCAGCCATTTTGCTTACTTCAGACCACCATGCAGCATATATGCCAATAATGGTAATAAGTAGTGAAAATAAAACAATAAAACACAACTTGTAATACACATCCCATATAACACATAGCTTGCTTTGGATGTGAACAATTGATAACAGAAACTGGAATCATTTGTTTCTTATATCAACAGTTCTATTCAGGTTCAGGCCTGCTTACAACAAGCAATTAAAAAGGCTCATTTTGGATAAATCTCACGCCTTGCACCATAAAAGTGGCGGCACACGAGCACCTAAACCAGCACTTTTTCATATCTGCAAGCAAATCTGGCAGTAAAAGATCAGGATATTAAAGCTTGTTTTCCAAGTTTCTCTCAGTGCCAGCAATGACCACAATATTTCCATTTACTAGCTATTATCCATGTACACATTCGTATCCCTAGCAAGCCATGGGCGAGTCCACAAAAGTTTTCTTATTTGGCTAAGCTTGATACAGCCCAAAATAACAGCTATAGTTGCCACAGTAATACAGTCACTGTGTGATGCTGGAATTAGACTAGCCTTGTGTGACTGTTCAGGGCGTAGTGAGCCGGAATAGTAATGCCAAATTTACTTGCTGGCTTGAAAAATTGCCAGTTAAGGGGCTCGTGAGATGCCACCTTAAGATTGTGAAGTGCGTTAACAACTTGGCTGAAGCTTATAACAATGAATGTGACTAGCAATTTCTATGAATAAAGCAGATCTTAACACGGTACAGAATCAGCTGGGTGTAAATGTTACAGAGGAATAAACTTGTCTTTCAAATTATAAAATAAAAATATATTTATTCAAAAACAATTGGAAATGCCTGCACACTAAATTCATTGCGGAACAATAATGAAAACACAATGTTTAAAAATGCAAGTGCCCTTTACTCTTATGAATTCACAACACTGTGTTTAACATTAACTGGCAATTGATCCCCATAACTGGTTAGTCCTCAACACACTAGTGAACCGATAACGAATGTATTGTCATGGGTAAAAGTTACACTCACAAACCGATGATGATACATTCATAATCACCCATGCTCGTGGCTGAGCAACAGCTTGCCACCCTGGGTTCACCTCGGGGGTCGACGGGCGGCAAGCCGGGTTCGCGAAAGTGTTAACTGGAGGAGAAACTCACCTCATACACAACATAAAAAAATATCAAAACAAAATAACTCTGAAATAATATACAGTACCATAAATATCTTACAAATGTAATGGAATGTTTGGGAAGAAAACACTGATAGATCAATGTTTATCAACCCTGGTCAAGGTGGCACCCCTCTTTGACGATTAGACCAACAAATAATGGGAAATTAAGATTGCTGCATTTCACTTGCTGTGTATTATGCACTTATTAAGAAATTAAAAGAACAACACAAAAGATTTTATCCTCCACTTACCTGATGTAATGTTTCCTCTCATTAACCAACTTTTAAGTGTCTTAATGTGGAAAGTTTTTGATAAATAGTTACACAAGGAGATATCAGCGAAAACTTCACTGACATTAAACCATAATACTCAGCCAATTGGTTAAATTACAGTTGTGTACAAAGAATAAACTTAGCAAACTGAAGATACAGTATATCAAATATGTATGTTAAAATATGTTGATTAGCACAATAGTTTTAGACATCAGTTAGTGGAAACAATTACTGGTAACAAAGACACATTTATGGTAATCAGCATATCTAATAAGACAGCTGATTAAAACAAATATGGCTATATTACATAATACAATTTGTATGGAAGATGGACACACATTAAAAATGGACGAATCAGAGGAAGCAATTCAATTCCCACATGACTACATACGTATATTAGTTCAGTATGTACAGTCAACTCCTAAAGTCAGCTTGCCTCTCCCCCTGAACCAAGAACCCCGAGATTCAGACCCATGAATCCGAAGCATTTATGGACAGAATAATGTGTCAGTCTAGGCTTTGGGTTCAGGAGTCTGAATCTTGTGGTTAAGGGGGAGAGGTGAACGGCCTTTAGTAGTTGACTGTACAATGAATAATGCTCACATCTTTACCTTTGTTAAATGTTAATAATTACAGTACAGTACTGCTCTACAGTTTTTCGTCTTATAATAAGATGTTAGGTCATCACTAGTTAGAATTTTGTTAATTTTGCAAAGAATTTAACTTGTCACGTGACTTAAAGGGCAGGCCTGAGAATAGATGATGAGCTATTTTCTCACATTCCATATGCTCAGTGTTTAATGCACCACCAAAGAGAAACTTCATTTATGCCAACAAACACTCACTGGGCCAGCCACTGTCAGGTGAAGTAACAAACCTGCTAACATTCATGAACATGTTACATCACAAACAGTAGTAGAACACAACGAAGATTTGCTGGAGTTTCTGATGCAAATTGATTCCCATCTTAGTTTGGTGTAGGTAGTTTGATAAAAATTTTACTAACATATTTGATTTCCTTCATAAGTGAATCATCAGCAAATATTGTACTGTATGAACTTCCTCCAATATTGTAGTTCATCTCTTCCACCCAACTTATCTTCATTAATCCATTCAGAAAACATTATATTGTACAACCAATGGGATATTTATTTGTCTTAGGTTACTTTAACATTAAGTCACCTACTGTTTCTAATACAAGTTCGTTTCCATTCATATTACCATTTTACCTAGTCTGTTAGCTCTCTCATGAACACTTATGTATGACCACAGGATATTTGTAATCCCATGGTTAAAAGTTAAGACAAGGCAATCACTAAAATTTCTAAGTCAAACAACCAAACTAACCTGAAGTATCAATTATTAATCCTGCATGCTATACTTTTCTTCAAATCATGAGTTATTGAATAGAACAGAAATTTACTACAGACAAACATGCACATGGATGACAGATGGGCAATGTACTGTATGGATCGATAAACTGGGATAACATATGGTATGCATCTCCGACGGCAAGGACATAAACATAATCTTTACCATAATAAATCACATCGAGAAGATACAGTCTACACAGAGCCACAGCCTAAAAATATAACTTACACACTCACCTCCATCAAGTAAGTGAGGTCAGGTTATCATCAGATCTTATCACTCCCCGACACTTCTTCCTCTTAACCTTAACTATATCTCAAACTCGTAGTAATAACTCTTAACCTTATTCTCTAAGTTGACGCCTTCCTCTTTACTGAACTAATTTCCTTCCTCCC